TCCTGGAACAGTGGTTAATGATGGCTGTGAAACCCCATGTGAGTGCAGGGGACAAACCTGGGTTCTCTGCAAAAAGTTAGGGCTTCTGACTGCTGAGCTACCCCTCAAGTTCACGTTTGCTTTTAATTTCCTCTTTATGATGTTAAATAACAAAGATCTACTTTAGAGCTAGAATTCATTTATTTATAATTTAGGTGTTTTGAGAACTATTCTCAGGCTGCTAAACTGTTAAAGAATAATTAATTATTAAGGTATACATTAAAATGGTACCTGACTATAATTACTCTGTGGTGCGGGAGAATTGTCTGTATTCTGTCAATCATGTATTTTAATAAAACACTGATTGGCCAGGCAGGAAGTATAGGTGGGAAAACCAGACAGGAAGTAGAGATGGAGCAAAGAGAACGGGAGTATTCTGGGAAGCAGGAAGCTCCCTCCGCCATTCCTGCTCAGACCACAGGAGAGGCAACATGTGAGCTGCCACGCTGAGAAAGGTACTGAGCTGTGTGGCTAACATAGATAACAATAATGGATTAATATAAGTTACAAGGACTAATAAGAAGCCTGACCTAATGGGCCAATCAGTTTATAATCTTATGGAGTCCTGTGTGTGAATTCTCTTTGGGGCATGCCAGCTGTGGGGTACCGGGCGGGACAGATACCCCAACAAACCGGCCCTCATGTTACTTACGGCGCCCAACGTGGGGCACCAGATAATGGCAAATCAATCCCACACCAGTTAGGTTTTAAAGGGGTATTTATTTTGGGGGGGGGTAAAACTTACATACACACAAACCGTCAGGAAAGGAGCCTAGCTGCTGGAGCAGGAGCCGGAACCAAGAGAGGCCGAACCGAGACTTGCGGCTCTTTTTAAAAGAGAAATATACCACGCCCCAGTGGGCTGGTATTTCAGCGGCTATTGGCTTAAGGAGCGGAAGGCGCTCCCGCAGCATTGTGGGCTCATACTTCAGCGACTATTGGCTGAAGGAGCGGAAGGTACTCCCGCAGCAACTCTGCAAACCATATGGCAATATGTATATATGTATTTGTATATATGTATATCATGTATGTATACATATATGATAGAAGAACTTTGAAGGTATACATAATGTCCTGTGTTTTTATCCAAGGATAATGTTTACTTTGTGAAACTTTAATCTGTGCACTCTCCTGCAAATATGGTATAGTTTTAAAGATAGGTCCCCTTTTGGCAGTGGTACACATGTACAACACTGGACTTGGAAGGCTGAGGAAACAGATCCATGTGGGCCCAAAAATGTGAGTCTACTCTACCTTGTTTGAAGGTCAGAGAGTTTAAGCTTGCTCAGAGTTGTTGACAACAAGTGTGGTTACACAGCCTGACCTAGGGTGTGGTTACTTGGTGTTATGAACATTAAGATGGCCCATAGAGGTAGAGCCTACAGAATATGCTTTTTGTGAAAATGAGACTCATCTACTTCAGGAGGATGAAGGGCATCAAAGAGGCTCTTTATGGAGTTTGTTAGCCATCTGGGCAAGAAACAGCTCTTGCAGGGACTGCTTGATGCTAGGCTGTATGGACTGGACACGCAGGACCCACAGAGAAATGACTGAAGTTGTCTAAAGGTGAGAAGGTCCTTCGGGGTTCCTGTTTCATGAAAGAGTCTGCCAGACATTCTGCAGGACACAAGAGAAAGTGACTGACAAACTGCCAATAGATTAAAGTCTTTCAAGTTTTCTGCTTCATGAAAAAAGTCTGCTGTATACTATGGGCCAAGAGGCAGAAGATGGATTACCCAATGTTACAGAAAAATTTTGGGTGACTGTCCAGGCAGCGCGATGTCTTTGTCTATTCTAGAGTTTTGGAAGTCGCTTACAATACACTTCCTGTTAACTTAGGTAATATATCTCCTTCTGGTGTCTTTGATGGAGTTTAAGAATAGTTATAGTTTTCCTTAATTATAAAAAAGTAGATATAAATAATTCTTGCTTGATACCTATTTTGTTATATGTAATTTTACTATGTTAAAGTTAAGACCTTTTTATTTAGACACAAAAGGGGAGATGATGTGGGAATTCCCTTCTGTATGCGCTGTTTTATTACCATTGGTTAATAAAGAAACTGTTTCAGCCAATAGCTTAGTAAAGCCAGGCAGGAAACCCAAAAAGAGACACAGAAAGTAGATGAAGTCAATGAGACACCAGCTGCTAGCCAGAACCTTACCGGTAGGCCACAACCTTATGGTGATTCCGTTTAATAAAAATAGGTTAATTTAAGATATAAGAGTTAGCTAGAAATATGCCTAAGCTATCGGCCAAACAATATTGTAATTAATAGTTTCTGTGTTATTATTTGGGTCGGGGTGGCCGGGAAATGAACGAGCAGTCTCCACCCACAAGGTTTGACTTAGGGAATAGCTGCCTTTAGGACACTTGGTCTAGGGTGGGTTCATTGCCTAAACAAAAGAATGTTTTTCTTGGAGGCTGGAGAGATGGATCAGAGGTTAAGAGCACTGACTGCTCTTCCAGAGGTCCTGAGTTCAAATCCCAGCAACCACATGGTGGCTCACAACCATATGTAATGAGATCTGGTGCCCTCTTCTGGCCTGCAGGCATACATGGAAGCTGAACACAGTGTACATAATAAATAAATAAATCTTTTTTAAAAAGTTTGTTTTTTTTTTTTTAAATGCCTTGATGTTTCAAGTATTGGAGCTAATAACTGTTCTGGTTGTCCTTTGTACCATATTAAAGCAGTCAAAAGTGCATGGAAATTAAACATGAGTGAACTCAGAAAAAGAATTCAGCATTCAGAATTTGTTGAGTTGCCCTGCTACTATGGTGTGTCTCTGTGATTTTTTTTTAAGAGAATGTTTGAAATTCTTTTATTTATTTATTTATTTATTTATTTATTTATTTATTATGTATACAGTTTTCTGTCTGTGTGTATGTCTGTAGGCCAGAAGAGGGCAGCAGACCTCATTACAGATGGTTGTGAGCCACCATGTGGTTGCCGGGAATTGAACTCAGGATCTTTGGAAGAGCAGGCAATGCTCTTAACCACTGAGCCATCTCTCCAGCCCCCTCTGTGATTCTTATTTCTGTTCCTCCTCCTAACTTTTCTAATTCTCACACCCCTACCCTGAAATGTACAAACCTGCCATGGGTAGGACCATGGCAAAAGTCACCCCAAAAAGATGGCTCCCGACAGAGATTGCCACTCTTAGGGCAGCTAGGCCTGCAGAGCAAGATATTGTCTTAAAAAAAAAATTACCTTTAGTTTAGCAATCTTACAATCTGCTGGAAAAAAATATATATTCAGATGAGAAAATATTTGCTATATTTCTCAAAAACTAGGGATTTTGTTTCTCTAAGACTAAATCATTCTAATGACTATAGCAACAAATAATTGTGACTTTTAAATGTTAAAAACAAGATACTGCTTGATGAGCTTTGCTCTGCTCATCAAAAAGAAGAAAAACTATGTTTTCTGATAGCAGTAAACTAATGAGAAAGGGGGCACTACATACCAAATAACCCATGTCTTTCATACTAGTCATTCTCAAAAGTGCTGAAAATCGTAACAGAAATTGCCCTATACTCATTAAATACAAAAACAATTTATAAAACACATCAGAATTTTATTGCTTAAGGAATACAGCATATGAAATCACAAGAACATCAAAATGAAAAGTCACTAGGCTTCAAACATATAATACATTATCAGATGCAGTAAAATATTAATCAACCTGAAGTCTGCATCAGAAAAAAGTATGGAAAAATATCTAAATTGTTTGAGAAACATACACTTAAAACAAAGTAAAAGAATGTTACAGTACAAATTAGAGTAGCCAACAGTGACTAACTTATTTTTGCAGACTAAACTACCTACCTTTGGTACTTAACCTTTTTGAAAAAACGATTCCTTCTAGTTTTTTCCAAACACTTCATGGGCATATCCATGAAATACCTTAAAATAACTTCAACATAAAGCATTCAGCAAAATTACTATCCTTTTTACTACCTTTTCTGTTATACTGGGGAAGTATATCTATCTGATAAATGCATAACAATATTTCCCTTTTTCTAAAACAGAAAAAATATGAATATTAAGAAATCTAATACTTATAAACTCTACTTAGCTCTCCAATTAAAATTAAAACCGTGGCAGCTAGAATCTCTTCTGGGGCTTGGTGAATACAGAAATCTAAGTGACTTGGCAACTGACATAGGAACTTAATGACTTCCTTAGATGGCATTGTTTTGTTTCCAAACACAAGCAATACACCACTTCTCCAAACACACTGTGTCCCTCTCACAAACACTATCGCACTTTAGTCACTGAAATCAAATTCAAGCTGCTCCCTTTTAACAAGCAAGTTAACACTTCATACAGGGCTGGTCAGTTATGACACTTTTTAATTAAACGCAAAACTTTAAAGCCACTCAATTTTGAGGGGGATGGTGTCATCAAGAATTAGCACTGGACTCTTAAGGTCACCTAGTCAAGAAAATGTAAATGTTATGCTAAAACCAAACAATACGTAAACTACATGTTAAATAATATTTTTAAAGCCCTCTTTCATAGCAAACATGTTCATTAGTTTTCATTTATTTCCCCTAGCAAGTCTGAATATCCATGAGCCTCAGTTAAACCAACGGAACCCAAGCAACAGTTTCATAAGTCTTACCTATAGACTTTGTTGTAGACTCAAATGACAAACACGAACTAAGCAAGTAATACTATGAACAATTACCAAACTGGAGTGAAACAATAAGAATCACAACAATCTTCAAGATTAGCCAGTTTCTGAAATGGCATAGTGTAGCTCAGGATAAATTATACTATAATAAAACTAGTCTTTACTGTTACACAAAACAATAACAAAATCAAAAACATAACTCACCAAATTTATACAGCTATTAGTGAATACATTTCCTTTCTAGTTTTTGAATATCTTATTTGAGTTTTTCTCTTAGCAAGTATATTTATCTGAGCATATATAATTGTTGCCTGCATATATACTCACTTTAAAAGACAAAAAAAAATTTAGATACTATAGAGAACTGAATTTTTTTCGCTGACCTGATTCAACGTATTCTGCATCACACCATGCCCCATCTCAATATAAAACTCAATTTTAGTTCAGTTAAAAGGGCAGAGAAAATGCAAATACAAATTAAGACATTTGTGTAAATTTCACTGTATTTTTATAAACCTGACATTTTCTATAATACTGTTTATAGACCAAATAAAGGGTTCACACTGCTCATAGATTCCAGAAACACCATTACAAATTCAAAGCTGATGTTATATTGAACCTTAAATTTTCAATGTTGAAAGAGACAGTTTTACATGTATAGCACAGCAGTTGAAACCTGACAGCAGACGTCTCTAGAATACCAACGGTAAGTCCAAGATGCATACACAATTACAGATAAGCATTTCTTCCACTGTTTTCTTATAGAGGACACAGAAGCCGAGATGGTGAATTTCAGATATCATCATCATCTTCTTCATCTTGAGAAGATCCTGCCTGATTGGATGCGCTGGCTGAGGCTGCAGCAAGCTGGGCTTGTTGGGCGGCTTGCTGCATTTGAAGCCATTCCTGTTGGGCCAATTCTGCTTGTTGCTGTCTAGCCTGAGAATTAAAAACATAAAAGCAAGTGTACACATTTTGGTTAAGTGTAAAGTAAAGTAACTAACAGACTTACTCAACAAATGTAGATAGATATTTTCCAAGTACTATGTAATTATGACATACCTAGAAAACAAGAACTCTTAATATTTTTAGTTCAACTGAAAAAACTGAAAAGGGACCGGAGAGATGGCCCAACAGTTAAAAGCACTGGTTGCTCTTCCAGAGGATCTGGGTTTGATTCTTAGCACTCACATGGCAGATCACAACAATCTGTTAAGGGATCCAACATCTTTTTCTGGCCTCTGCAGGCAACGTACACATGTGATATACATTGCATGCAGGCAAAACACCCATGCACATAAATACATATTAAAAAAAAAAAACTGATAGAGCCAGGAGGTGGTAGCACGTGGTAATCCCAGCACTTGGGAGGCAGAAGCAGGCAGATCTGAGTTCAAGGCCAGCTTGATCTATAGAATGAGTTTCAGGACAGCCAGGGCTACAAAAAACAAACAAAACCTTGGTGGTGGTGGATCACATTAGTTGCTTTTCAGCCCTTTTTACAGTGTTTTTCTTTCCCTCCAATTATAATTTTCATATAAACATAATTTGTGGTGTAAAAGGTCTCCAGTACCATAGTGAATACAACAGTCGTGCTGGTATTTTCTACTGAGTTCCTATAATTCTCTACCCTCATGCTTCAAAAGAAACCTAAAACATAAAATATTTCTCAAATGAATACTATACTTTTACATTTTCAATGTTTTTATATTTTGTCTACTTGAAATTTCCTAATTTTCACTTACTGATGAAACTGTACCCTTACTTAAAAGTCAAACCAAAATACTGTTTTCTCTTTCCTGCCTAAATCAAGGTGTTTTCAGGAGAGAGAATTAACACTAGTTCTGGGAACTAATTTAAACAATAAAAAAAAAAAACAAACAAAACTAATAACAGGCAACTGAAAAAACAAAAGAATACTAAGACACTAGGCAGATGCCAATGACAAGCAGTGGTCTCCAATCTAATCTGGGAACAAAGAGTGGAACATTTAAACCTTTTGTTTGGAGGAACAATCAGGTGGAACTAAACTCAGATCTCTGAAGAACAGATATATTTGCTAAAGTATGAAAGCATGGAGAACCCACCTATGGTGCGGGAGAATTGTTTGTATTCTGTCAATCATGTTTTAAATAAACGCTGATTGGCCTGGCAGAATGTATAAGTGGGTCAACCAGACAGGAAGTAGAGGCGGAGTGATGAGAACAGGAGTAGTCTGGGGAACAGGAAGCTCCCTCCGCATTCCTGCCCAGATCACCGAGAAACAAGATGTAATCTGCCCGGCTGAGAAAGGTACCGAGCTGTGTGGCTAGCATAGATAAGAACAATGGGTTAATATAAGCTACAAGAGCTAATAAGTAGTCTGAGCTAATGGGCCAAACAGTTTTATAACTTATGGAGATCTCTGTGTGATTTTCTTTGGGGCTTGCCAGCTGTGAAGTATTGGGTGGGACAGAAACCCCAACAAGCCGGCCCCTTCATGTTACACACCTATGGAGACCAACACCCAAGAAGGGTGTAGGCTGGTTCTGTAACAGAAAATGCATACTAGAATCAGTTCCTACTATAAGACAAACTGACGCAGTCAGCAGTGTTTCTGGACACTGGGTGTGAAGGCACATATTTACAGTCCCAGAACTGGAAGACAGAGGCAGCCTAGTCTACAAGTAACTGTTCCTGGATTGGTCAAAGGAACTGGAAGAGGAAAGAAAAGATGTAGGCCTGTTTACTTACACTAGCCCCTATTGGCAGTAGAATACAATGAGGACTTCAGATAGCAAAGCTGATGTACTTTGTACATATGTACACAGTACAATGGTCTTCCCACACATAATTTCAGTTGTGATTTCTGTTACCTGGGATCAATCAAATACTAAATGGAAAATTCCAGAAATAAGGAAGCAAGTACCTTTACTTGCTGAGCCGTCTTGCCAACCCGTTATATAATCCTCACAGATTCTTATGAGGATTAAATGAGCTAAAATATACAAATTGCTAAGGAATATTATTAACAAATATTAAACTCAATATATAACGAAAAACATTTTTCTTATTAGTTTATTTTCTAAGATTTATTATTTTAATTATGTATGTGTGTGTGTCTGCTGGGGATATGTACATGAGTATTGGTACGCTCAAAGACCAAAGGTGTTGGATATCCTTGGAGCCTCCCAATGTGAGTACTGGGATCCAAACTCAGGTCCTCTGGAATAGTATACATTCTTAACCCAAACTCTTTCTCGCCTACTTTAATAAATGCTATTTGTATCTTGTGCCTGACAATGTTTAAGGCTCAAATGCAGTGAGGTTTGATGGCATAATTTCTATTACCTCAGTAGTTGGGGGACTGAGTCAGAAGGACTGTAAATTCAAAACCAGCTTGGGATACAGATCAATGCCTTGCTACACAGAAAATGTTAGACTTTCCTTGTATCCACTCAATAAAATTGAGTAGCGGCCAGGCAGTGGTGGTGGTGGTCTTTAATCCCAGCATTTGGGAGGCAGAGGCAGGTGAATCTCTAAGTTCAAGGGCAGCCTGGTCTACATATAGAGATCCAGGAGGACAGCCAGGGCTGTACAGAGAAACCCTGCCTCAAAAAACAAAAACAAAACAACAACAATAGTGGTGTGGGAGAATTGTCTGTATTCTGTCAATCATGTTTTAAATAAATGCTGATCGGCCAGGCAGGAGGTGTAGGTGGGAAAACCAGACAGGAAGTGGAAATGATGCAAGGAGAGCAGGAGAATTCTGGGGGGAAGGAAGCTGATTCCTCCCACTCCTGCCCAGACCACCGAAGCAACAGGATGTAAGCTGCCCCACTGAAAAAGGTACTGTGCCACATGGCTAAAATAGATCAGAAAAATGGGTTAATCAAGATGTGAGAGTTAGCTAATAAGTAGCCTGACCTAATGGGCCAATCAGCATTATAACTTACGGAGTCCTTTGTGTGATTTTTCTCTGGGACTAAACAGCTGGGGGGCTGGGCAGGACAGAAATACAAACAAGCAGGCCCCCTCATGTTACACAATAGAAAGAGAAAATGGAAAGGAAACTGGTTGTTGCAATCATTTACATGAACTAGAGTCAAACTGGCCAAGTTCTAAACATCAGACTCAGTAATAAGCAATAAGCTGGAGAAAGAATCCTCTAGATATGTTGATTTATGAAGTGATTTTCAAAAACCCCCTGACTTTGGTAAATTGCCAACGAAAATAATATAAAGCACACTACTTACTTTTGCAAACAATTCCTGTTGCTGTCTCAATAGCTCTTCTTCAGGAATGCCAAGGTTTTCCAAACGAGAGCTGGCCTTTCTTCTTTTTAACGCTACTGTCTTGCATTCTTGTAAGACTTCTTTTACTTCACTGATGTAAGAGCCAAAGCCCAAACTTTCTAGTGCTGCAGAAATGAAAGAATGAAAGGTAAAAAAAATATAGCTTTCCCTCATTCATGTAACATTTACTTTTCTATGTTAGTTTCCTGTTGAGAGACAGTTGTTTAGCAACTGTCTGGTTAACTAAGACAAAATATTTTTTATCAACCATTTTTGTTCTTAATTCTGTGTGTGTGTGATTTGTACACGTGAGTGTAGTGCCCATAGAGGCCAGGTTGAGAGCACAGTACTCCCCAGGAGCTGGGGTTAAAGGCATCTTATGAGTGTGTGAAAAACCCAAGTCCTTCAGCAAGAACGGCACCATGCTCTTAACCTTTGAGCTATCTCTCTAGCCCCGTATTTACCTACTTCCTTAATATTTGGCTAGAGGCTGGTTAAAAGCTAATGGTACATTTCAAGGCACAGGTTTTTATTTTTCCCTCTTTAACTTTTAAAATTTCTTAGAAGAACATATGGTTTGAGAAAGAAAAATATCTTTCCTATGCCACTTATTAATAGTCAAGCATCATTAAGTCTGTCCGTTTCTTAAAGAATACAAAAAAGGCAAATATTTGGAATTTACAGGTTAATGACATAGTTTGTCCCATTAAAAAAATAGGGTAGGACACATATTCATTAAATTACAGAAAGTAGGATGAAAAATAATAAAGCTAACTAAATTCTGATATTTTATAAATTTATTTGGTGATAAAATTAATTCCTAACTACACTTTACAAAAGTGCATCAGAATGCTTAATTTGTTCTAATAAGATAAAGCCAGGTAGCAACTGAGTGATTAAAATGGCCTGAAGTAAGGTATAGTTAATTAACTTTATAACTAAAAACCCAAACTTCAATATGAAAACCTTTTAAAAACGTGTATTAACAAAAAGCAGGGGCTGGAGAGATGGCTCAGTGGGTAAGAGCACTGGCTGCTCTTCCAGAAGACCATGGATTCAATTCCCAGCACCGACATGATAGCTCACAACTGTCTGTAACTTCAGTTTCAGGTGCTCCGACACCCTCACACAGACATACCTGCAGGCAAAACACATAAAATAAAAATAAATAAAACACACACACGGGGGGGGGGGGGAAAAAAATGTGTATTATATGTATGTATCTTCTGTTCCTAAATAATCAATGCAGACAGAAAATCTTTTTTTTTTTTTTTTTGAGACAGGGTTTCACTTTGGCTGGCCTGGAACTCACCTGCTTCTGCCTCTCACAGAAAAACAATATGAAAAGGTTGTATCTATCATAATTCTACCAGTTTTCCAGAGTTACTCAGTAAGGATATACTTCAAACACCTAGAACAAAAGAAAAATTTCTCCAATGTGCAGGGCTGGTGCACGCCTTTAATTCCAGCACAGGAGGCAGAGGCAGACTGAGCTCTGAGTTCCAGGCCAGTCTGGTCTTGAAAAACAAAAACAAAACAAAACAAAAAAAACACCAAAAACCTTAACATTACACTAATTGGAGCAAAACTACTTTTTATTTGTTTGGTTGTTTTTTGAGACAGGGTTTCTCTGTGTAACAGTCATAGCTGTCCTGGAACTAGTCCTTGTAGACCAGGCTGGCTACACAGAGATCCACCTGCCTCAAGGTGAAAACCACCACCACCTGGCTGCACTGGTTTTTTAGCAGCATGTGTGCCTGTGTGAGGCTGTCAGCGTGTGTGGTCCCTTAGAACTGGAGCCACAGACAGTTGTGAGCCACTGTGCAGGTGCTGGGAAATGAACCCAAGTCCTCTGGAAGAGCAATCAGTGTTCTTAACCGCCGAGCCATCTCTCCAGCCCCTTTTATATTCTTATTGGCAACATTACAAGAAAAAGGTCAATTTATGAGTGCCAACAGGTCGATTCACAGGTTTTTAACATCAGTAGATTGCCATCATCACAGAAAATAGTTTTTCACTGTAACTTTCTGAGTCATGCATTAAACCAAAGTTAGTGTATTCCAGAGTTGCACTATTTAGCATATTGTTTGCTATGGCTGCACTTTTATTCAATCATCTTGTCAATCAGAACTCTAAATATATCCTAGAAAAAAATGAACTTTTCCCAAGAAGACAGGTTGCGTTATTAGATTCTTGGAACAATCCTCATTTTCCTGGTACAAACAAATGTTTAGGCAGATCCTATTGAAATCCTCTGCAGTTTCCATTAAAAGACTGATGCTTTATGAGGAGTCAAAGACAATTTTGGCTATTTGTTTGATAATCTGCTCAAAGACTTAGGAAAACAATCACATATACAACATAAAAATAAAAAAAAAAAACCAGACAACTTGGCTTCCATTTTTCTTACCACTCAGCAATCAAACCAGCAATTTAAAAAACAAACAAACAAACAAACAAAAAAACCCAACCAGTTTCAAGAATCAAATTGGGTGGGTTGGGAATACAATTCTGTAGTACAATGCTTGCCTAGCACATATAAAGCCCTAAATTTAAAACACACACACACACACACACACACACACACGAATCAAATAAATGCTTGGCGGTGGTGGCACACGCCTTTAACCCCAGTACTCAGGAGGCAGAGGCAGGCAGATCTCTGTGAGTTCAAGGCCAGCCTGGTCTACAGAGCTAGTTCCAGGACAGCTAGAACTGTTACACGGAGAAACCCTGTCTTGAAAAAAGAAAAGAATCAAATAAGCGGCAGGGAATGGTGGTTACAGCAAGCCCATAATCTCAGAACTCAAGAGAAAAGAGAATGTATAAAACCAGGCTGGGCTACACAGTAAGATCCTGTTAGCATCTTGCTTCTCCTTACCCTGAACTGAAATAGCAGAGTACATGTGTATGTAACATACTTATGTATACACATACGATATCATGGCTAAGCGAGCAGCTCTAAGAGACAACCACAGCACAGCAGGGTGTGCTTTACATCCTACCTTCAGCACAGGGTAAAAGGCTCAAAAAGGAGTCACTATCTTTTTGTCAATCCTGATAGTGGAAAAATATAAGTTACTGCCTCAGACTGGATGCAACTTTCTCTTAGGAGTTCATGAAAAGCCAGAGAGTATTTCCCCTCAAAATTGCCAAAAGTGTTGTCTCCCTTCCCGCGACCATCAAAAACACAGTTTCCCAAATCCCTACTACAAATATTTTCCAAGATAAGGAAGAAACTGTTGAGACGTTTAGAAATGCTTTTCAATAAAACCCTATAACACACACACACCACACATCCAATGGGAACAGCACAAGGAAAGGACAGAGAGTCTGCTAGTGTGTGTCAGATACAGTTCAAGGCCCAGTACTGGAAGAGGTGTGGGTGTCCTTGTCACCTTTTGCATAGCTTTTGGTACAAGCTTTTCAACATTTTCTAAGAATAAAACAATCAAAAGTTAGAGGAAGTCTAAAAGAAAAAAATGTGGCATTTTGCCTTTTTCTTACAGAAAGCTTTGGTAACATGGTGATGATTGTTTTATCAATTTTTAAAGCAAAAACAGGCTCCCTTTTTGGAAAGCAATAAACTTTACAACACTGAACCCTCAAGTTAATGTGTGTGTGTGTGTGTGTGTGTGTGTGTGCGCGCGCGCGCGCGCGCGCGTATTAATTCCATACTGGTAATCAAACCCAGGACCCATGATCGCCAGGTAAACGATACACCACTGACCTACATCCACAGTCCAAGAGTTTTTTTTCTATTTGTGTGTTCAAAATGAATCTTTCCTCTACACTGGTAAAAAAGGGTCAAGTGAGGAAGAGGTGCTCTCTGACTCAACGCATGCTTGACGTTCTGTCTAAAATTTAACTTTCCCAGAGAGAACCTTTAGGCTCCTTTCTCACCTGTTATTATCCAAGTTAAACTGTAGGCAGTCAACTCTTGTTGCTTTAAGACCTGACTGCAAACGGTACTAGTTAGGTATTGAGGATGTTTGCTGACCCTAATGTTTGCATTCTTTATTTACACTAGCTGGATGAAAAATGTCAGAAAAATGCTACATAGGTATTTTCTTAAGGTGCAAGCTGTCTCTATGCCTTTTTGACTTCTTCATTACAGGACTTACTAATGACACGAAGCGGTTATGCTATCTATCAGCAAGACCTCCCCCCTGGACCGTCATTTCAACAAAGTTCCACACAAATGACTTACCTTGTATGACGTGCTCTGGGGAAATCGTCTTCTTTTCCGACTTGTTGCAAATCTCATTGGCCTCCGAAGATATAAGGTGGATGAATTCAGTGCAGCAGTTCACGACCAGCTCTCGGGCGTCGTTGGCCACCCGGACGTTAGGGAGAGTCTCTTTGATCATCTTATTTATAGCAGCTCTGGGGATAGTGAGATCATCATCGTTGCCAGACGAGGAAGCCATCGTACCTTCCTGTCTTTCAGGCCTCAACTTTTAAACTCCTTGACTCTGGTCCACCACTCCGCGAAGATTTCAGGCTGCCCTCGGGCAGGGACGTCGGGGTCGGGGAAGCTCGGAAACGAGGAAGAGGTGGGTTCGAGGGCCGAGAACGCCCACTGTGTGGGAGATTCTAGTGTGCGTCTGAAGGGAAGGTCGGGGTGCCGAGGGCTCCGGGACTGCCCTCCAGTACCGGCTCACACGGACCTGGACGGCACGGGAGCCCTGCCGGCCGCAGGCCCGGGCGCACACCCACAGTCCCGGCTCTACAGAGCCGGAGCCCCCGCGGCCGCCGCCACCAGCAGCGGTTGCCGCCGCCTCGGCCAAACCATCCTTTGAGCACCCGCGCCGCCGCCTCACAACATGTCTGCCGAGGCCGCCGGAGAACCAAGGCGAACGGGGCCGAGCACAGCCAGAGCCGCGGCAGCCGCCGGGGCCGGAGCAGCTGCGGAAGCCGGAGCGGCGCTAACGGTGGTCTCGCTACAGGCCAGGAAGGAGGCTTGCCGCAAGCTGATCCCAGCACGCTTTGCGCCGCCGGAAGTCTCCCCCCCCCAGGTCCCACCCTCCCTCCTCCACGGATTTCCGGGTGTGCTCCCCGCCCTGCCCCCACGAGGCGGGCGGGAGGCGGGAACCGCGGTGCTTCGGGTGCTCCCGGTGCTCAGCCCGCAGCTTCCGCCCGGCGTTTCTGCGGTCAGGCCCTAGGGGAGCTCGCTGGCCCTGTGCAGGGCTGCGTGGGCAGAAGAGCCACCGAGGGCCACGTGGCGGAGGAGCCCTGGTCGTGACCACAGAACTTCCTTTTCCTCCTTCCCTTCACTTAGGGCACTGAGTGACAGGAGCTCTGAATGGGACTCGGGGCAAGCAGATCCTGTGTGTGATCGGAGGAGGGATTTTTATAACTAACAGCGTTCAGATCAGAGCTCCCTGTTCTCATTTATGAGGAAGAAATGAAACTTTCAGAAAAGTGGCTCTCGGTAACTAGGAGCCAGTAGTCAGATCCAATATAGTGGATTGTCTCAAGCAACTTCTTTCCAGGGTGGTTGTAACTAACTAGTGCCAGGTTCATTACAGAAGTTGCATTATTAATAAATATATATACTAAAACTCACAGTCGGGCATAGTTGCGCACGCCTTCAATCCCAGTACTCTGGAGGTAGAGGCAGGCAGATCTCTGGGAGTTCAAGGCCAACCTGGTCAACCTGGTCCAGGACAACCAGGACTGTTAAACAGAGAAACCCTGTCTCCGAAAACCATAAAACGAAAAAGTCGCATACTGTCACATTAGTGAATAGTGGAATGTTGTAATTTTTAAAAGGACTAAGCCATTAAATGCATGTGTGCAGTTCAGTTCACCGTATTCTTTGTTGATAGACTGGCAGGTGGGATGTTGGCAATATTCTCTTAAGGTGTTTGGTTTCCAGGAGACCCTCACTGTCAGCCGCTCTCTCCCACCCACTCTATTAGACCTACTTTCACCAGGGAGCTTGAACAACAGCCTTGAGTAATGTTTTCATCCAACATTTTCTCCAAGATGTTTGCTGGAAAGTGTAGATTCTTCATTATCAATGCTAATTAACTTAATCTTTGATATACAGAGTACATATTTTTTTTCTTCAAAATAAGTGAAACTTGGTTCAGATGTATCACCTTTATGAAGTATTGTTTACTGTTTGTTTAAAAGATTTATTATATTGTCTACATTTATTTGGGCCTTAATTTATCAGTATAAAAAGGCTATCTAACAAAAATTATCTCCAGAGTTGCCACATGCAAATCTTGTTTCTGGGGTAAATGTGTGTGTATATATATATATACATACACACACACACACACACACACACATATATATATATACTTTTTCTTTTTAACATGCTTTTTAGAGTTGTGTGGTGTAGTAGATCAACAGAGCACATGCTACACTGTTATTCCAATAAGGGTTCATTACTGCAGATTCTGTGGTAATATAAGTAATGTGGAATGTGTGCAAAAGACCTTGCTAGGATTAAAGGTGTGTACGCTACCACTACCATAAAAAACAATATTTAAAAAGATTAGTCTGGATGGACATGTGAGATGGAATGCAATGGAAGAGACAAAAACACTAGTTATTAAGCTATTCCAAAAACAAGTTAATGGTGTAGACAATAGAAAATAATAAAAGGAAGAAATCAGGCATTTGAGAACAAAGTTCACAGGGTAAATCTTTGTATTGCATTTGTAGCAAGATCAGTACATCTGAAGCCTCTAGAGCAAAGAGGAAAAAAATAACACCCCAAAGGAGTAGATGGTAAGAAATAATCAAACTCAGGGTTTAAGACAAAACAACAACAACAACAACAACAATGCAAAGAATCATTACAACAAAGAGTTGGTTCTTTAAGAAAATCAATAAGATTGATAAACCCTTAGCTGAAATAACTAAAAGGCAAATAATAGAAGATCCAAATGATCAAAATAGACATGCTGATCAATGGAATGGAATTGAAGACCCAGACATAAATCCACAGATCTTTGGACACCCGATTTTTAATAATCTAGAAATAGACACTGAAAAGAAGACAACATCTCCAGCAAATGGTGCTGATAAACCAGATGTCAGCATGTAGAGGAATCCAAATAGACCCATACCTATCACCCTGCACAAAACTCAATTCCAAGTGGATCAAAGACCTCAACATAAAACCAGATCACTCCAAAAAACTTTTAAACTGGGTGGTGGTGGCGCACACTTTTAATTCCAGCACTTGGAAGGCAGAGGCAGACAAATCTCAGTGAGTTTTAGGCCAGCCTGGTCTACAAAGCAAGTTCCAGGCTAGCCAGTACTGTTACACAGAGAAACCTCGTAAACAAACAAACAAAACCCAGATCACTGAACCTAGCACAGGAAGCACTTTTTGAACAGCACATCAATTTCACAGGCAGTAAGATCAACAATTAATAAACTGGACTTTACGAAACTGAAAAGCTTCTGCATGCAAAGGACATCATCATAAGGACAAAGTTGTAGCATTCTAGGACAGGAACAGATTCTTACCAACTACTCACCCTGTAGAGGACTAATATCCAAAATATATAAAGAACTAAAAAACCTACATATCAAGAAAATAAATGACCAAATTTAAAAAATGGGGTACAAATCTAAACAAAAAATTCTCATAAGAGGAAACTCAAACAGCTGAGAAGAACCAAAGAAATGTTCAACATCCTTAGATAGCTGAGAAGAAGCCAAAGAAATATTCCCTAGTGAGCAGGTTAATGCAAATCAAAACTACTTTGAGATTTCCTGTTACACCTGTCAGAATGTCTAAGATAAATAAAACAAATGATATCTCATGCTGGAGAGGATGTGGAAAAGGGGAACACTCATGCACTGCTGGCGGGAGTGCAAACTTGCACAGCCACTATGGAAATCACTGTAGCCATTCCTCAGAATTCTGGGAATCGATCTATGTCAAGATCCAGCTTACCACTCTGGGCATTTACCCAAAGGATGCTCAATCCTACTGGAAATACTCCATCAACCATGCTCATTACTGCTCATAACAGCCAGAAATTGGAAACAAACTAGATGTCTGTTATCAGATGACTGGATAAAGAACATGTGGTACCTTTACACAATAGAATATTACTCAGCCATTAAAAAAATGAAGTTCTCAATAAGTGGATAGAACTAGAAAAAACATCAACCTGATTGAGGTAACCTAGACCCAATGCACATACAGACATGCAAGCAAATGCTCATATACATAAAATAAATCTTTAAAAAACATTTTAAAGGCTGGGTACAGTTACATACTGTTAATCCCAGCACTCAGAAGACAGAGGCAAGTGGATCTCCATCACTTAGAAGAAACAGTACACACATTCCAGGGTGACTCCAGGGGACAACAGACTTCTCAGAGGGCCTGTGAGAACAGTATCTAGCCATCTCCTGAGGACTCAGTAAGGTTTATGTTTATTAATAGTAAAAACCAACTTGAACTATTTTAAGTTAAAAGGGGGAAGCTGGGCGGTGGTAACACGTGCCTTTAATCCCAGCACTTGGAAGGCCGAGGCAGGCAGATCTCTGTGAGTTCAAGGCCAACCTGGTCTACAAGAGCTAGTTCCAGAACAGGCTCCAAAAGCTACAGAGAAACCCTGTCTTGAAAAAAAACAGAAAACAATAAAACAAAAAAGGGGGAACTATAGGAGAAAAACTTCATTTTTCCTCATTCAGTTTTCTCCTCAGCATCTGGCTTTCTTGGTTGTTCAAACTACAGGCAGCTGAACTATGACAATTATAACTTCAGTTTCTACTGTAACATAGTTCCAGTTATATAAAAAGACTCAAATCTCTCTGCTTCTATACCTGTTCCAAGTTCCTTGGGAAGACCATTCAAGTTGAGTCAGTAGGCTACTGTCTAATAACTGGTTAGAAATGTTGTACACAGTCCTGACATAGGTAAGGGGATCAGTTAAAAATATATCAAGATGTCCCTCAATCAGAGAATGCATAAACGAAATGTGGTCATTTACACAATGTAGTATTTACTCAGCTGTTAAAAACAATGATGTCAAGAAATTTGAAGGCAAATGAATGGAACTAGAAAAAGTCACCCTGAGTGAGGTAATTTAGACCCAGAAAGATAAATATGGTATGTACTCACTCATAAGTGGATATTAAATATAATGTAAAGAACAACCAGGCTACAATCCAGACTCAGAGAGGCTAAGTAACCAGGAGGGACCAAGGGGTAGACACACATCGATCTCCCTGGGATCTCCTGGGTAGACTGAGGGAGGGTGGGGATGGGAACATGAGGGAACGAGCTGGGGTGGATGGAGGGGGAGAGTACTGCAAGAGAAGTCTTGATATGGGGGGCATTTGGGGGAAACTCCCATGAATCTACAAGATTGACCCCAGCTAAGACTCCTAGCAATGGTAGATAGGCAGCCTGAACTGACCATCTCCTGTAATCAAATTAGTGACTACCCCAATTGTCATCAGAGAGCTTTCGTCAAGTAACTGATAGAAACAGATGCAGAGACCCACAACAAAGCACTGGCCTGAGCTCAAAAAATTCCATTGAAAAGAGGGAGGAAGGAGTATACAATCTGGGGGGAGGGGGTCAAGATTGTCACAAGAGAACCCACAGAAACAACTAACCTGGACTCATAGGAACTCATAGAGTCTGGATTGACAGTTAGGAGACCTACATGGGACTGACCTAGGCTCTCTACATACGTGCGACAGTTGTGTAGCTTGATGTACTTGAGCAGGACTGCCCCTAACACTCTGGAGGGCTTTGAGGTACCTATTCCTCATACTGGGTTGCCTTCCTCAGCCTTAATACAAGGGGAGGAGCTTAGTCCTACCTCAACTTGATAAGCCATGCTTTGTTGATACCCATGGGAGCCACCCTTTCTGAACAGAGACATACGAGGAGCGGACTGGGTGTGGGGTGTGGAGTGGAGGTGGAGAGGGAATGGGAGGAGAGGAGGGAGGGGAAACTGAGGTTGGGATGTTAAATTACAGTTAATTTTTAAA